ACAGGTTAATATGAGTGGTTCATGCAGCAGCAGCAAGAAAAACCTCTCAAAGAATGTAAGGAACAGAACGTTGAGAACAATATCTGTCATTCTGTTAACATGAGTTTTGTCAAGTAGTCAGGGACAGCATTGTGAATGACCTTTAATAGGAATAAAATTCTGTAGTAGCAGAGAAATTCCAAAGACAGGAGAGAATGATCGATATGGAACAAGCAGAAAGCTAGACATTGAATTTCTGGAAAAACTGGAAGCAACATAGGTTTCAGAGACAGAAAAGTGCTGAAAAAATAAGATGCAAAAGAACTTGAAAAGTATTAATAGCAAGAAGAAAGGAGAAAACCAGTTATTTCAAGTGCTGGCTGAAGCAGGACTACTTGGACAATACCGGGGCACGTGAGAATACATATGTTCGGCTACGAAGGACAAGCAGTACAGAAATACGGCTTTGAAGAAACAAAGATGTGACTGAAAAAGAAAACATGAGTCCCAGAATATCCCATGCAATACCTGAAAGAAAAAGAATGAATGAGATTATGCAGCAGAAACAAATGAGGAGCAGCAAAGACTCCATTTCTCTCTGGCCTGAAGATTGAGGCAGAAGAAAATGCTGAGCAAACACTAGTGCTTTAAAGGAACAGGATGAATGTGAAAAGTAGAAGTTGAAAATGTGAACATGATAAAGAAACAGAAGTGTGGTTAGATAAAGGTACTTCGAGTCTTGGAGAAAGAAGGCAGTGATTAATTTGCAAAATTTGAGATAAATTTAGAAGATTTTTTTTTTTAAATGGAACTAGTCTTGTCAGTTTCATTGCTTATTTCAGCAGAAAATAGAAGCATAACTTATTTGAAACAGGAGAAAGTGAAACTTAAGTTTATTGACAGCTTAGAGTGAAATGAATGCAAGAGGTAGTTACTCCTGTAGACATACACTTAGTAGTTTCTACTATAAATTATGTACTAAAGCTATTTTATAAAGAGGAAGAGCTATAGAAACTATCCAAGTGCAGTAACAAAGATGCTAAACTTTTTTGAACCTATATTACTACTCATTTCAGAGCATGGCTTATACATATCGGAACAGATATTTTGGAAAAAATATTCACAGTGAACACAGGTATCTTTTGGATCCTCAGTTCAAGTACTAAGCAGCACAACTTAGTAACATATTTGGGATACTGGACTATGTTTTGAATTGAAGACCTTCAAAGGCCTGAAAAGTGAAAGCCAAGTACATATGAACATTAAAATGGGCAATTGAGAACTTCAGGCACATTATACTGTTATTTTTCTTAAAAATAAATAAGTTATTTTGAGCATCAGTATCAAGAAAATATTTAGAAATGTTTTAAAGTCTTAGAGCATGATAAAACGTTTCTGCCAAGAGTTCCTCTAAATTGAAGTCTAAACAAAACAAAAAAAAAACCCAAAAAACAAAAAACAAAAAACACAACACAGTTTTACTAGTATTGCCGGTGTTTACTTCCTCATATGCTATAAATATTCAGAAGTCACCAAATATGGCTTTACTACAGTCACTTAGGAAGAATTCCCCTCTGTTTTCTGCACAAGTTGGATAAGCTAAAAGGCAGTCATATCCTATTGAAATAGATATTTTGCTTCATGAGCAGATAATTTTAAAATGTAGTCGAAATAACCATGGCATTAAGGTCTAAACATTTTATTTATAACTATATAACTGAGAGAACAATTGTCTCCTCTCCTCCTCCTTCTACAATAATACATGAGCAGGACATGACTATTCAAAACCTAGATCTAGGGTTAATAAGGCTTTTGAATGGACATATCTTTGAATATTCAGAGTCGTTTCTGAGGAATAGACACAATCCTCATTAGAAATAGAAAGCCTTATGACTTGCATTGTGCATTTCATCCATTTTTTCCAATATTAACCTTACACGATTACTTAATTCAGAGAGAGAGAAAAAAAAAAAAAAGAGCCTTCTACCTATATTTAAACTTATTTTTTAAAAAGATACCTTTTCAGCAGCACATGCATTTGAGTCACTTGTGTTTGTGATTAATGGTTCCATTAAACAGATTTTCCATGATTCAAAATTGTTCGAGACAGTGACCTATCAGCTTGCAAAACCAATAAAAAAGCTGCTACATAAAAAGCATTTAGGCACTTTGAACTATTTGTAACTAAGCAGCAAGCTTAGCAGACTGAGCAGCACACAGTATGAAACTAAAGCATGCAAATGTGCAGATCATGCTGATGTAAATGTCTCTCACAGGACTGTGCTTTAATAACCAGCAGGAGGAGAAAAAAAAGTTAGATGAAGAATCCTTATTTATAAGGGAGAAGGAGGAGAAAACAAAGCACTGCTTTAAAATCAATATCCAGATAAGCCTCCCCGCTCCCTGCAGCGCATACAGCAGCTCAAGGCAAATAAGCACTGTGCCAAGCCCCACCATTCCGCTACCAGAGTATCTAAACCAGAGCAGGTCACTGCTGTGCTTGTGCCTCGCAAAGCACATCATCAGGAACAGCAGGAACGCACAGTTGCTCCCAGGCGAAGGTGGCATCAGCCGCTTCCCCTCACGGAGTTTTTAGATGCACAGCATAAAAATTGAAAAAGCAGGTAGGGTCTGCGTGACAGAAGCTAGTAGTCACTGCTGGAAAGTAAAGCACAGAAACTGTGTCAGCCCAAAGCTTTAAACACTAGCGCTGACTGCCATGCTTGTTAACTGGGTGCAGGTCCTTGAGGCAACTGCATCTGCATGGTATGTCAAGGCTGCACGCGGGACTAGCACTTGGTAGCGAACTGCAACACCTTCGGCTTCTACACTGCTGCTCTAAATCCCTCGATCCTTTCAAAAGGCTTTTCCATTACGATGGATGAGAGGAAAGAGCCACATGATCCAGCACTTCATGGGATTCTTTACTAGAGCATGTGCTGGTATCAGCAGCAAGGCAGGACCTCAGAAAAGCTGCTTTCAGTAAAATAGCTGGAGTGTTTGCAGAATCATATTGCATATCTCCATTACAGCTCTCTCTGATTCACCAGTTAAGGATGGGGTCAGTAATCCTCAGGAGTAAAGCACAGGCTCATGGGAAAGCTCTCCCACTTAAAAAGAAAAAAATCTCTCATATCTCCAAGAATTCTTTTGATTATGTCTCAATTCAATGCTTGAGGTAAGTGTTTCAATGTACATGTTTGTCCATCTTGAAAAACCTTTTCAGCTTGCACTATAAATTATTTATTATTTTACATAACACACAAGCAGCAGGCAGCTCCACCCTCCAAGACATACGGTCCACCCTAGGAGGTGCCACAACAGACAGCAGGATGCAGCAATTCTAATCATGTTCTCAGCGGGAGCTGGGATAATCCCCCTGCTGTCATTCACCGTGCTAAGAAAAATCTTGAGATCAATCCACAAAACATTATCACAAATAAGACTGTAGCAGAACACAACAACAACAACTGAGATGCAATTAAAAAAAAAAAAAACACCACCACACACAAATTGAGAGGAGCTGGAAGGTACTATGGAAGACTTAGCAGAAGAGGTTTAATACCCCATGCTCCAAGGAATTTCTGGACCAATTACACAGATTTATGCATTTGAAAGAGTAGGTGATGCTGGAATGAGCTGATGAGGGCTCTCTGGGGGATGGCTGCAGAGAGTAAACAGAGGATCACACACAAATGGGGTGGTCCAGGACACACTTATCCTGGCTGAAGTTAAAGCAGACTAACACAAGTCCGCAGATCTGCTCTGACGCTTGTTTTACAGGCTTTGAAAATGGAAATTTTTGGTTCC